GGATTGCAATTTAAATTCTAAGACTATAAATAAAAATCCCTTTATAGGTAGAATTTTAGAAAAAGAACACAAAGCTTTCTGGAGTTAAAGGGTAAAACAATATATATATAGTAAATGTAATATAAATATAAACTATTTATATATTTTTTAATTCTACAAAACATAAAAGGAGTATTACAAGAAAATGCCCTACCTTCCTCGGGAACCATGTGTACCAAGACATTTTATGAACAGCACCCTACATTAGGATTGTATTCACGCCCACTGCTCTTTCCTAAAAAAATTTTTCTTCCAGTTCTCCTTTTGTTATGAACTTCTGTTACTACCTTCCCACTGGTTATACACAACTGCACATATTTTTCAAAAGCTAATTGAAGCATAGAGAAGTTAAATATGATTTATTCAAGGTCAAATCTCAAATCAGTGGAAAAGCCATAAATACAGCCTTTCCTCTACTGAGTGTTCTGGGTGCTGAGCCATATTGCAGGGTGAAGTTTTGACTTTTGATTGTTGTTTTCAAAATTCCCCTGGGTATTAAAAAAAAGCAGCTCATGTTGACAAGATAGAAGATGCTTTTAACAAATTTCATTAACATTGCACCATTTTAACATTCCTGGACCTATCATACGTGCCAATTAGTTTTTAACACATACATTTAAAGGCACTGTATAATTGACTCAAATACCTACGAATGGAAGAAGGTTCAGTAGCCTAAAATATACCTTATTTTTCCCATTAAGTGCAACTGAATCGCAATGCACGGTAAGCAGTTTGTGCAAAAAGAAATGCTCTGAGTTTAAGGCCTACACTAAACTGCACTAGACCCCATTCTAAGATAAGACCCGTAATTAACAGAGCCAGGGAAGGATGAAAAGAAGATTCTAGGAGCACACGATGCATCCAGAAGAAAACACATGACAAGTGCTGAGCTGCACTGAGAAATGAGGGCACCAGAGTTGTCATAAAAAAAAAAAAAAAAGGTTAACAAGCATGTGCAGATTAAACAGATAACGAGGGTTTTTTTTTTTTCTTTTTTATAAAAAGGGAGGTCATTCCTCCTGCTTTCAGGACCTTGAAAAATAAACCAGAGCTGCCAAGGGCTGCGTGGCTTTGACTGCCTGGTGAAGACAGCCTTTAGCAGGACAACCCTAATCCCAGGGAGTTGTTTGTGTTTTGCTTTCTGCTGCCACACTTGGAGACTACTTGATCAAACAAACAGGCATTTCCCTCTTGGGGTCTCTACATCATGAAAATGCTCATCTGCCATTTAATTTTTATCTAATCATGTGGCTGTTTTTTTCCTCTGCCTCTGTCTCCCATCTACCCCCACCCCTCCTACACTGGCATTCTCTGTGGTCAAAGAATCTGTTTCAGTATTAGTGTTCAATATAGCAAATGTCAAGTAAACACTCTACACATTTCCTGTGCTATTTAAAGCATCCTAAGCAATTATTTGTTCTAAAGTATTAAACTGTACATTTTCTTAGCTGGTGCCAATTCCTATAGTAATAGCTGTCACGGAACAGTACTTAGAATACTCAAATGCAGCTTTTAAATCAGTGACACTCTTATGCTACATTTGCCAAGATTCTCCTAGTTTCCATATTTTGCACATTCTTGAGATAATGGACAAATTTTAACAAAGTGTCACAGGTAGCTCTTCTCATATGTGAAGCTTAGTAGGCACGTTATCTTTCAACACAAATTTTTCTCTAAGCAAAAAGAAAAGAGATAAAAGATAAAGACAGACACACATACTCACACTTCAACCTCATTGTCATATTACTTGTGACAGGCCAAAATCATAACCACTGAAAATATCACTCCATTTCATAAAGCTCTAGATCATAATAGTTGGTTCATAAAAGGGTCCCCCAAGACTAGTTCTATAAAGGGCGTATACTATATTTACACATACAAATGCATGCAGCGCTAGATACTAAGCAACAAAAGCATACCTATGTAAATATGTACGTGCAAATGACTACACATATTTATACACATATGCCCTTATAAGCACTTTTTTTAAATTTCAGAATATTAGGGGGGTACACTCAAATGTCTATAGCAACACAATTCACAATCACAAAGATGTGGAAACAACCCAAGTGCCTACAAGCACTTTTATGTTTAGCTAGAAATGGCTCTTTTTAATCTTATTAATTGTTTTTTATAATTTCTTAGCAGTAACTTAAAGTAACATAGTTCTAAATCCTCCATAGCTAAGACTGCATTAAATTGCCATCTCCTCCTACAGAATTGAATGGCCCTTGGAAAAACTTCCATGCAACAGAGTATAATTTGTGACCAAAACACCAAAAACTTCTTTGTTAATTAAAAAAATGGAGTGAATTATTCAAATATATTTTCCAACTGATGAAAGAATTCTATTATCCCCACCAAGCCAGAACCCATTCTAATTTTTACACACACAAATTGGGTATTACTACTTGCTGAAAGATCGCATTAAAGCATTAAAAGGGACAACAAGGTTATGTTATCTTAACGTGTTCCACTCAATGGTTTTGATTGTGTTATGAAGTGCCTTCACACTGGTTACCAAGAATGTATCTCTATTTTAAGAGTCACACTATTTAAGAACCACATGTCTATAGAGTCAATATTTGTGACTTCTACCGGACAAGCTTGTGAGAGATCTGTCAGCAGGGTCACGTGAACTCACCCCTCTCGGTGGTATCCACTATAGCATGCCTTACTTGGAAGGGGATACGTCATTTGAGGGATGCAAAAACCTGCCACCTCACTAAGAATCCCCAAGGCTAGTGACAGCACTGCCTGGGCATCACAGCAAGGAACGCCCTCCTTAATCTTTGAGGGTGTCCGTATGTCTGACTCAGTCCTACCTTGTGCTCCAAGAGATGGCGAGAGAAAAGGAAGAAAGGAAGGCAGGCAGGAAGGCAGGCAGGCAGGCAGGAAGGAAGGAAGGAAGGAAGGAAGGAAGGAAGGAAGGAAGGAAGAGAGATGATAAAACAAAATAATGGTATGGCTAGGGCGCATTACTGTGCACTTCTGTTAAAAGTAATTTAAAACCTCATTTTTCTATAGTGGTTACTTCCGAGGTGGGAAGAAAGGTGACAAGATCAGGGAGGGCTGCCCAGAGGACATCCAGTTTGTGGTGATTTTAAAATCCCGGTGGAGAGTTAAATGAGCGTTCACTGAATCTTTATTCTTTATGATTTACATTTATTTTGTGCCTATGCTTTCATATATACTCGATATTTAGTAAAAACCATTTTTGAAAACAATTTGCAAGTCCCACAATGACACGGGTGGACAGCAATGAAGTGCCGCGTTGAGAGCACAGGGTCTGCGGTTAAAAAGGCAGGCGCTGCATCCCAATCCCCCTTGCCAGCGCTGTGACCTTGGGCAAGCTACTAACCCAGTTACCTTATCTGTAGAGTGGAGATAATAACGACCTATGTAGGTTGACCGTGAGGATTAAGTGATTAGTGCAGTGACTGACACATCCTAAATCCTCAATATGCCGGCCAGCCATTATTATTATTAAAAGAATAGGCTCTCTGCACTGTGAGATTTTTGGAGTGTGTACACCGTTCCTTGTGTTTTTGTTCACCAATCTGGCAAATAAATATTTATCAATAATAATTTATTGAATTAAAATACCAGCAATCAAATTCTGCTTTTTTAAGTGAAACTCTGTATGACATCTAGAAGATGCCCAAACAAATGAGAGAAACAAATCTAATGGTTCCATAAGAAAAGTGTGAAGAACTTGAGTATCCGGGCATCCTTTCAGAAGAATCTCATTTATATTAAAATGATTTAGCTGTATTATAATGAGAAGACCGGAGTTTTGTCTTGAGATGCAACTATAAGCAAAATCCAGTGTTAACTTAAAGTATAAAGACATTCAACTTTATGTGTATTCAGAGTTCACAAAATAAATGAAGTCATAATGTCTTACAGTGACAAAGAATAAACATTAGCAAAATCCACTCATCTCTTTGTAAAAGTTGTCCCTCAAATAACACAGAAAAGGAAATCAAAGAGCAATGAAAGATTAATTGGTTTGAAACCATGGGCCACAACTCACTCAACTTTATTGTTCTTCCTAGCATAATGCCTTTCACATAGTAGGTTTATAAGAAATCAATAGAATTAAGTTGAATGTAAAATAAGGAGGTTGGACAAAAAGATGTTTAAGGACCCTCCCTATTTTAAATTTCCTGATTACCTAAGTAATAAAACTATCAATGATTATATCTGATATTCATAGCTAACCTCAAGAATTCACTGCCATGTTAATAATGAAGCTAATCCTCTTTCCTTAATTTCAATTAATGTGAGCATAGTCAATCTACAGCTCTTGACTTCAGTGTTTAATTCTATTATCACGGTGTTATAAATATGCCTACCTGCTAAGTTTCTAGAAACATAAGCAAACTGACAACTCTGAGAAATATACGTGTTTCAGAGCCAGAGGAATGAAATTAAGACATTTCCTTTTTTTTCCTTTTAATAATTCCTAATCTCCCTTCAGTGTATTTATTAAGCATTAGTTGTTATTTAATGCAATAGCTCTCCTGGGAGAAGGAAACCAACCTTAAAAGGTTTTTCAGAGATAAAAAGAGATCCTTACAACAGAAAAATATCAGAGGTGAATAACCTTTATACTATATAGCAATTGATATCTTAATAAATGAAAATATATTTTTAAAGTAACTGCAGAACCAGCCAAAACTGCATATATTTTATGAGATACTGATTATTGATAAGAACAAAGGAAAATCCAAGTTGAAGGAATAAATTCCTCTCAAAACCACTCACCCCTGTGTCTGTACTTATGTCACAAAGTGTTCGTGAATTTGATGTATATATCAGGTATAAATCCTCTTTCCAGAGAGCAAAAACTCCTAACTAGCCACATTCCAAACTGAAACAGATTTGTCAACATTTCACGTATATTAGAACAGCTCCTAAAAGCCATTAGCAAAGTGAAAAATCAAAAGACATAAAGATTTCAAAGTCAAAATACAATGTTCTTTAATTTTCTGAGGCACGTGCTACAAGAGAAACTTTCAGTGAAAGAGAAAAGCAAAGGCAAGACCATTGCTCCTTCACAGAAACTGGCAAATAAAGAATGTATGCACAAAACACCTGGATTTGCTTTCCTGTTTCCTTGCCAGTGACTTTTCTTTTTTTTAAGATTAGCTAACAGTCAAACAAACCTTTAGAGCAATGAATTACGCATAGACACACAGACACACTCTCACACAAAAGAGAGCAAAGCTGATGCTATTTAAATATCATGAAATATTTTCCTAACCATGCACAGATGGAAGTACAGACGTTTCTGCCAACCGCCTGGTTCAGAAACTTTGCTCTATTTTTAATTATTTGGTTCAGAGGACTCATTTGTGATTAACTTCTGTGCTGGATGGCAAAGTAAGTAAATTTCCTGACCCACAGCAAAGAACACAGAGAGAGGCTTAATTATTTTTAAACAGCTAGTGTAATATTGTAAACCATGTGTAGGGACAACTCATTTGTCAAAGACCAGTTGATGATTGTTGCAGTTTGAAGCTGTAGCATGCATGAGTAGAACAGAAAATCCCAAGAGATCTTTAGTAAGTGACAGCAAAATGAATTTCTTACTGACAAATAAATTTTCATCTTTGAGAAATAACAATGGAACAAGAAATAGAAAAGGAAGAAATTAATAATGTTGTAAAGACTAATCTTATTAGTGCAAGAAGTTTCAGTTTTGACTAGGAGCAGTGAATGGAATGCCAACAGCTTTAAGCACAGGAAATGGACTCGGACGCAAGGAGAAGTTGGTCAGGAAACTCAAACCATAGTATTCAAAATCACACACCAGAATTTTAGCTGAGCAAAACGAAATCCCAGAAGACACGCAGAAAGAGAAACGATGGTTCAGCAATAAGACAGAAAAGATGGTCAAGGTATGAAGAATGAACAGGTTGGAACTGTTTTATAATTTTAAGGGCTGTGTATTTACAAAAAAGTAGATCCCAAGTAAGAAAACAATAAACCCAAGTGGAAAATTAGCATAAACACAGAAAACAAAGAAAATATAAGGTATCCAGTTAAGAATCTTGAAGATAAAATGGGGCTAAAACTAGCAGACCTTTATTCCTAGAGAAGCTTTCTCTTGATCAATAACCCTAAAATTTTAAGACATTCTGTATTTAAGTCCTTAATGTATCTGGAAAATCTCAGGTCTACTGAACCACAGCCCACAGAGAGCCAAAATATCTCAGGAGTAATAGTTATTGCTAAAAATTACATTTGCAGTGAGTCCAGGATCAATGCCAGAATGACCTGGGAATTTAAAAACAAAACAAAACAAAACATTAAGCACCTACTTTCTCCTTGAGGAGTGTAGAAATGGAGACTAAAACAGAATACCCTTTTCAGGGAGCCCTTGATGTTGAAGTTCAGCTCCTTAAACCAGTAATACTGGCTCTTAGCTTTCAGCTAGATCAGTGGACATGGCAAGACCCTTAGAAAAACACATTCATATTTGTGGGCAATTACGGAATTTCAATAATTAGAAGCAATTCAGGGAGCCAACATGAGGAGAAGAAAAAAGGTAATCTGTTCCAGAGAGTCCAAAAGAAAACCGACTTCTATTATATACATACGTATGCATATATATGTATATATATTCATAGTCCTGTTTCTCTATTATGCAAATAGGTGAAGTATGTGTATGGGTATGTATATTGGCAAGAGACTAGAATTATAAAAAAAACAGATTTTTTTTTTTTTTTAAAAAAGCACATCTACGGCTGAATTATTTATAGTTGCAAATGGCTTCATAATACCAACCTAGTATTATTACTGCAAGCACTGCCCATGGCTTGGAAAGGTTATTTCATTTAGAAATGTTTCCATTTGTTGTAACACTAGCCACTGTGACGGGATTTGACCTGGGTCTTTGTCCATAAAACAATCCTATAAGATATGTAAACATGAATTCAATTTTCTTTAAGTCAAAGAAAGCACAAATATGGTTGTCAGAACAAGAACTGCTTTCTGTGGGATACTCTAGTTAAATGAAAGCTATTCAACTTGAATCAATTGCTGTATCCATTCTCCAATACACAGCAGATTTATATTTCAGAAGGTTTTTGACAGAGAACAAAATGTTACTGAAATATCTCTTCCATTCCTTTTGTCCTACATAACATTCCATGGGCTGAACTCCCAACAAGGGGCATATATTTGTCAGCTTCTGTTTGCACTTGTTCTATTCTAGTTTGTCTTTGTTGCAAATTTTCCATTTTGACCCTTTCCTGACAAAACATTAATATATACCGTTGGGTTGTGTTACAACTTGTAATAAAGAAAAAAAAAACAGACATTTTTATTCCGTACCACCTTTAAGCACCCATAACTTTTTAAAATAAGTCCTGCTATTTAAATCAGTGATAGAACATTCTTTTATATCTGCTTATGTAAACACTAGAAATCCGGAGAGAAAATTCTTTCAATCCAACAATCCACACATTCCTACACAAAACCAATCACTTGAGTATTTAAAAGCTAGATCTGTGGTGAGAGACAGGCTAGAACTAGCACAAACAAGTCTGTGCAAGATGAATTTATCCTCCACTGCCTCTGCTCCAGGTCATCCCAGGACTACGCCTGTGGGCAAACGCCAAGCTGGAAAGAATGGATTGGTGCCTTTTTTCTAGCGCATTTGTGTAGAGACTCCCCAAGAGCTCGAGAGGGAGGTGCTGCTCTGCAAGTGACAAAAGGTGTACAGCTGCAAGCTGATGAAGCAGAACATTCAACATCATGCTGGCCATTAACGACTAAGCCTGCACCAGCTCAACACCAGTTGGCAAGAGACTTCAGACAATGGGAGAGCTAAAACATTCTCAGGGATGACGTCCAACAGGAGGTCTCTGAAGCTGGGTGTCATCCTTTAGGGTGGCCCAGAATAAAATGGTGACACATTATGCCTCCTGGAGAGTTCATAAATACTTTGAACGGCACAGACACCAAGTCCCGAGGACTTCCAACGAAGATCTTGGGGCAAGAAGAGATGTCCACCAACACTTTCTGTTCTGTGACCTGTTAGAGAGAAACATTCTTAGCTACTCCATCACCAAGCAAAACTCCCCGCCAGGCTGTATCTCCTTGACTCCTGGGGGAAAAGCTGTAAAGAGACTGAGGGACGCCTAGGAGATGGCCTTTGTGTAGTTAGTTTGCAGAATCACTAATGAGGCTACCAGATTTAAAATCTGGCTTCAGTCAACTCCAAGAGGGAATCAGATTCTAAGTATTTCTGCACCTAATAGCATGGTCACCACCAAACTACTTCTGCAAAGACAGAAAAGGCTTTGTAACAGTTAGTACTAATACATGCTTCTAGTATCAGGAGATGGACAGTGTATTTTACTAAAAGATTAACCCGTAGATATTGCAGTGCAGTAGATTCTTAGTTATCATGGAAGCAACTCCTGTTTTTCCGGCTCCCTCTTGCCCAGCAGGCATACAGCTGATTCACACATGGCTGGATGAGCTTCCTCTAACCTCTTCTGTAACATGCAGCAGAAAGATAGTAGGGACCTACAGACAGGGAAATGATCTGACAGCACTATCTTCCCATCTACACAGGAAAGGACTTCTCAGAGAAGGCATCATATTTCAAGATTCCATATATGAGATCAATTTGATTTCCTGATGTATTTAACCTTGCTGACACAGGTGCATTAAAGGAAATACAACTCAAAATGCTCAACTTTAAAGGTGCAGTGGCTGCGAAAGGAAAACCACTCTCCACCTAGCCATCAAGTTTAGGCCTAGACACTACAAAAACATGTAACATCTAAATTTATGACGAAGTTGTTTTAAGGGGTAACTAGGAATTGGGTATATTCAAGAGACTGAACTCTTGCATTTCTTTGCCTTCCCAGTTCCAACCCAAAATTGCTCTAGTGGGCCAACTCAACTAAGCAAAGTCGTATCTTTTCATTCTACAACTTCAGAGACACCACTGCCTAATTCCTGGTGTATCTTAGCTATACAAGGTGATGGAGAAGAGAGCTGAACTACAAGTCAGAAAACCAGGGTTCCAGCACAGGCTACATGCATTCCTAGCCATTGGAACCTAATAAATCAGTCAACCTCTTAGGTTCTGTTTTCTCCCCTAGAAAATGAGGATACTTTCTACCTAAGAAGTCATTATGACTATCCACTGAAACAATTTGTTCAAGGCACTCTGAACTCTGTGATGTGCTATTATCAGTTGAGGCAGATCCATGACACACTAACCACCGCACAAGGTCTGGATAAGTGTGCTTGTTAAGCCTGTAGTTACTACTTCAGAGGCTCAGACTGCAAAACACCATCAAGAGACGAGGGTAGTTGTGACTAGCTCTATGAGAGAAACAGGAAACAGGTCTTTCATCCCAGTAAAGTCTTTGAAGACCCTGGACACTTAAAATTGGAAAGTTAAAAAAAAAATTTTTTTTTTAAGAAAATCATTTTCTAAGACTTCAGGGCAAGAGTTAAAGTAAGTGCACCATTTAGAGACAGAAATTTTGAGATTACTCAGGTCACCAAATGTTCTGTGCACAGGACAGCAAAAAACTAGTGTTTGTTCATTTCCGTAGATTAATAACTCTCCTTCCGGGACTTAAAGACGGCATGAACTGTGACTTCTGGAGTTGAGTCTGGAGAAGGCTCATATACTACCGGTAAGACCCACAGTTCAAGGTCACACTCAGAAATACTTTCCTTCATTTCACTGCTTCTTACTGCTCACATTCTCCTCTTCTAATCTCTAGGATGATTGAAATAGATCTGCAGCTCGCCGGGAGGAAAAATAAAGTAAGTAGTCTTCATCCTTTTATATCTGTTTACACAGATTGTTAAAATAGTACTGTTCATTTGGATGATGCTGAGATGGGGAAAAAAACCACACACAACCTGTTCCTTCTGAAGAGTAGACAAAGGTACAAAGGGTTACTGGGGCTTAAATAGAACAGGGAAGCCAAAATAAAATACCAAAATTTGGACTTAGATGCTATCATCATATTTCCTTCAAACTCAATAGATAAAGCAAAGTTTTATGGAAGGACATTTTTCAAATAAATAACTAGATCATTTCTTTTCTTCTGTCAGTATAATAATAGATAAACTTGTCTTATGGGTCTATGACCACTTATCAAAGAAAAAACCCAAACCAAACCAAACAAAACTGCTATCTTACAGAAAGTATCAGATTAGGCACCAGAGAGGCAGCAGCCAGGGGAAAACATTCTTTCCTAGCTCCTTATATAAAGGCTGTCTCCCAATAAAAGCCACAACTCGAGATCATACCTCTCTCTAGTCTGGGTTGCAGTGACCCAGGCAGCTCCAGAGGTGAACTGGAAACAGGGAAGACTGACCAAAATCCATCCAGACTCCTTTCTGCTCCCACTCGGAACCTGCCAGAGCACAGCAAGGCAGAACGTGCTCCAGGGGCCTCCTGTGTGCGGCGCTGCACTGGACGAAAGGCCCAGGGCCTCAGTTGCTAACGGTAGACCTTTCCACCCCTGCCAGTACCTCTAACAGGATCTGACATATTGTCTAGCACATGGTCCTCACACCAACGACCACAAACGGACACCCTCTACCTGGAAAAGGTGTCCTAACACCACCAAGGCAACTTCTAGATGAAGCCATGTGCAAGATGGAGGAGATGGCTGGCCAACTCAAATAGGCACAGACATCATCTTCAGAGAGACCTCCGGCCCCACTGGGCTCATTCCTCATAACCAGGTTATGCAGGAGGGTTTCAGGGACCTTCTAACCCCTTCAAATGGTTCCCCTTTCCCTGTGGTACTTCACCTGAACCTGACGAACCTCATTTAGAACTCCGGGGCTACTCTCTTCCAGATAAAATCCTCCTTGGGATAATTATCTTACCAGGAACTCTCGCCTGAACTGGAGAGTGGGGTCCCAAAAGCACTTAAGGGACACTGATCAAGGCCAGAGAAGACATTAGAAATGTGAACCTCAAATTCATTCATTCATTCAACACAATAGCTGTGTTTCTAAGAATCTTCATGTAATCAAAATTCAATAGGAAATTTTTCAATGTGAAGAAAGACAGTTTTAGACATTCAAAAACAAAGCCATTTTACCTGCATTAATTTCAATAATAAGTGTTTTGTGTGGTTGTAAATGCAGTATTATCAAACTTAAATATCACTGAGCAAATCCAGCATTCTATTACATATAGCTTTCATTCCAGAAGATTCATCATTGGGCCTTTCTTTATCCTTTCTCCTTAGCCCAGGCTTCTTACACTTTTTATCACCTTTGTCACCCACTGTGTGATGCACAAAGCCAATTAAACAAACAGGTGGCCAAAGATTTTTCTACTACTGTGCTCCACTGGACCCCATGCTGGTTCCAGAACACAATTATATAAGTCATGGTCCATAGTAATAGATGGAATCACATCCAATTTGTAACATAAAAATAAATATCATAAGGGAAATATCTGTATTTATTGCAGGTTTACTATATGCTGTAAGTTGAAAATGGTGTGTGTTTGGGGGGAACAGTTTCCTCCTATCTCTGTGCTGGGAAAAGGGTTGACAAATGTCATGAAAGGGGAAGAATAGGGTACTTATTATGGGAGGCCAAAATCTAGTCCAAGGGCTCCTTAAGGAAAGGACTATAAGCTGAGATTTTAAGAATGAGAGAAAAGTTAACCAAACAGGGGGGAGGGAGGTGCTGGGTTCTAAAGAGGGGGAACAGCACGTCTAAAAGCTGGGACATACCAGAGAGCATGGCGCTTTAAGGGGGAAGTGCTATAAGACCTAAGTGGAGCAAGTTTGGGGCAACAGGAGAGTGATACGGATGGAGAGGTAAACAAGGTCCCCGAAACGTAGGGGACCAGTTTAAGGATCCCGGATTCATACTGAGGGCCATGAAAAACCAGAAGAGGGTTAAGGAAAACAGATGTGAGCAGGTAAGAAATGTTCGTTTTGGCTTCAGAGAGGAAAATGGGTTGGACCAGAACAGCCGCACCTCTAGAGAGGCCACTGAGGAGGCACATGATGTGCCAAACCTCCCCAGCCCAGCTGAGCCACTCGCCCAAGTTCCGACTTTGACATTAGACTTCCCCAAAACTCAATACCTAGGAAGCTGTTCCCAGCCTCCCACCTAAAGTGCTATCTCCAGGGAAGAGGTATGACAGGAAGGGAACTGGAGTAGCATCGTGCCACTGTAGTTCCAACATGGATGAAAACCAAAGCCAAGGAGCCCAACCCTCAGCAGGGTAGCATGCTGGGTAGGGTAGCAGGATTATATGGCGGAAGGTGTAAAGACCCCAAAACAGGATCCTTGGAAAATGGTTAGACTTTGGCCGGGCCTGAAACTCCTCACTGATCTCTCCAGGTCCAAGTGAGGGAGGTGGCCAGACATGTTTCCACCCACTGCTCCTGGGATAAGACTCCCTGAGAAACACATGGTCCAGCAACGGAGGACAGAGAACCCCAGCACTGGGCAGAAGGATGCCACAGCCAGGAAACTGGCACAGGTGGGCAAGGATTGAGGAGCAGGTGGGAGGAAAAAGGGAAAGGTGGCCCATGGAAATGGAAAGCCACTAGGATTTTGACAGGGAGCAGTTTCCAAGGGGAGCAATGAGCAAAAGAAAGTGAGAGCTGTTCCCAGCAAAGCCTGTTGGCCAGCCTGTTGCAGAATCTAAACTACGGTTTTCTCACTTCTTCCTTCCAGACTGGCCCTGGATACTATCAGAAGAAAAGAGAGACCAATCATTTAAAAACTCAAACTTCTGTACAACAAAAAGTATTATCATTGAAATAAAAGAAAATTGGACTGGGGAAATAGCTGCAGGAAAAATGACTTTAATAAAAGATTAAAATCTAGCACATATAAAGGGCTTATATACATAGATTAGAAAACATCAAGACTCCCATTTGCTAATTGTAAAAAGGACAATTAGTAAATAAACATAGATGGAAATGTTATATCTCTGAGATGGATCAAAGGAATGCAAATTTCAAAACCAAAGTCTATTAAATTAGCCAAAAAATAGTAAGTCCCACAATTAA